AGTAAAGGGTTTATGATAGAAAATTCATGTGGTGTAAGCTCAACTGAGTTTGTGCACAATGGTTAGCATACTTCATTATTATATGTGCTTAGTATTTCTAACAACCTATAGGCGTGGCATGGGTCAAGCATGATGCTTAGTGTCACTAGTCCTAGATTGGACGGTATGGGTTAGGCACTTATGATACCTCGAAATTCGAGTAAGGGGAATTTATAGTTCGAGAGTGAGTATAGGAGCCTTTGGTTGGATGACCCTTCACAATTAGAGAGAGGAGCTAATTTAGTCACATGGGCTAGACCTATATGAGATAATAGCCTGTGGATTTGGTCAAATGATATGAGGAGTGGTATAAGGCAGTTGCATTTGATCTTGCAAAATATATTATAAAGATACATTGTGAATAATGTTAGTTTGCCTTATGTGATATTAAATGCTTAATTGTTATGATTGTCATACTTTAATATACTTGATTAAATTACTTGGTTATCAAGATGTTTATTTCACTCTCATAGTTTAATATTTACAGGTGAGGATTAAGAGAGCAAAAGGGAGGCCTCTAAAGCTAGAGACTGCATAATCAATTGTAATATCTCTATTTTTATTTTTTATGTGTAATTTGATTACAATGTTTGCCAACTAGGAATCTTTCATATTAACTTATATCTATTTGAAGCCTACTTGCATTTATAACCTTAAATGTTGAATTTAGTCATTTTTAGATTGTCTTGGCCATAGAAGGGTCTAAACCCTTAATCTGACTATAGTAGTGTACCAAGATAGTTTGAACAAGTATATTTTGACAAATTAGATGAGTTTAACATGTTTTGTGTAACATCCCAATTTAAATTTTAATAGTTAATTTGGGTTAATAGAAATTTTGAAGAATATTTAGAGGTAAGTAAATTAGTAGGAAATGATTATCAGATCTAACTTAGGATATAATTCTAAGTTAAGATTTTAAAAATTATTATTATTATTATTATTATTATTATTAGGAAAGAAGAAAGAAAAATATAATAGAGAGAGAGATTGAGAAATGAAATGTAAAATGTGTGTGTGTGTGTGTGTAGGAATTAAATAAAAAAGAAAAATAAAAAAATTGGGAGGTGGAATGCACAATGTAATGTACAAATATATATATTAATAAAAAAAAGAGGAGCAGCGGTTCCTTGTTCAGTGATGCACATACATATATATGTATATATTAAAAAAAAGGAAAGGAAAGAAAAAAGGAGGTGGGACCTATAGCTTTTTATAAACCCACGCACACCCTCTTTTTTCATTTTCCCTTCATTTCCTTTCTCTTTCGTGTGCGAACAATGAGTGCGTCTGCGAGCGCGATTTCGCCGGTGCTGGGGGGCTGCGTTTTTTTAAGGTGAGACTTCCTAATAGAATATTTAGGGTGAGATTTCAAGCTTTTTAAGACTAAGTAAGTGTTCTAAAAAATTTTTTTAGCCATCCTTTCTCTTTAGTTTCAGATATTGTGGTGATAGAAAATCTAGGGTTTGGAAGAGGGATGAATTTATGTTGAATAAATGTGATTGTTGAGGTTGTTAATGGTATAATAAATATTCTAGAGTATAAATTTATTGATGAAGTTGGAATTTGAGACTTATGGATCAAACCCTAGGCTAGATTTTTATTAAATCCAAAAATATATGTTGATTTATTGAGGTTTAGATGATTATTTGGGATGAGAAATGGATTCTTATAGTTATAGAATGATGATTCTAAGCTTGAGACTCAATCTCTAATTTTTGGATATTTTAGGTGCGAATTTATGAAATAAAAAGAAAAATTTTGATAATAAAAATTAGTTTAGAGGTTGATTTTAGCTTATTAATATTTATTGATGACTAAAAGAGGAGTTAGAAATTTTATTTAATAGTACTAACTCTAAATTTGTATTATGATTGAGATTAAAAATTTTGTTATATTTTCTAATCCTATTTTTAGAGTTATTTTATTAGTTTCAATAATTAAAACTAATATTTATAAATAATATGTTATTTGTAGATTGTGTTGTTAGTGAAGATTGTGGTGGGAGAAAAATTATAAGGAATGATTTATTGAAAAAGCCACAAGGTAACCATGCTTTTAATTTGTGCTTAATGTTGCTTTATCTTAATTGGGTGATTATTGAGAAAATTATGAATTGTTGTTGAGAAATTACCTTGTTATATTTATGAAAAAAAATTGTGAAATTGTGGATATTCATTTTGAAGTATTTTTGTCAAGTGGGATGTTATATTGTAATATTATTAAAAATGAGAAAATTGTGAAGATTTGTAATATTGTATAATTGTAAAAAAATTATTATGAATTTGTTTGATTATTGTGGGAGGTGTTGGGAGACTTGTTGTTGTTGTTATATTTATGTGTCACGTGGTACGCCCTTATTGGAGCCCAATAGATGGCTTGTAAGGGCTTGGGCTAATCTACTTTTGGCCGAGTAATTTAGCACCGAATGAGGGCTATGGCTCGAGATTAATGGAGGGAGATAAGGATAGTTGTTTGTTATGTATTGTAATATTTCTTGTATTTTTGTTAAAATTATATGACTGTTATTTCCCCACTTAACAAGCACACATTTAATTGTTTGTATACACTATCATAAATTGACATTGGTTATTGAAACTTTTGAGTCTCATTATGTGGTTAACAATTTTCAGGAAAAGAGCTATGAATGGTGTGTGGAGGAGTCCTTGAGGCTTAGTGGCATAGATCCACTGTTTCTTTGGGGTATTTGATTTATAATTTTTAATATGTTATATTGCCAATACTAGGGCTTTTGTTTATTGACAGTTATATGAATGTAATGATGTAATCATGCCCTTCAAACTATTTCTACTTTTAGTACATTTTGGATGACTGTAACTTTGATCTCTGATTTATTATGGATGGCTTGAAATAGCATGATTATGAGGCCAAATAATTGACTTGTTTTGGGAATTGATTAAGTTGTTAGTTATTGGTTTATGATTTGCACTTGTTGAGAGTAAAAGGATGAAAAATGTAATTTTAGCCTAATGGCATGTGGGAAGAAAAAAAAAATTTATCTGAGATATTCTATTGTGCAAGCTTAAGCCAATTATAAAATGTTTTATATCGAATTTATTGATATAAAATGTGTTGGGTGGCTGTAACCCAACTATGATTGTAAATGTATATTAGTTGTATAAAATTATTTTGTATTATTTAAAAAGAGGTTTAATCTTTTCTACCATGGTAGTGTTTTAAATTATAGAATTGTTTTAAAAAAAATATAGGATAAGTTGACTTCTGTTTACCATGGTAGACACTTTTCTACCATGGTTGAGTTAAATTATTTTTGAAAAAAAAAATTTAGAGTGTTACATTTTGAGTGATTATTTAGCTTGAATGTAAATAATTGCATTTTCACCCCCTTATTATATGTCTTATTGTGGTTGGATGCTCAACTCTTGTATTTAGAATTCTTTAATGCTTGTGATTGTTTAGACAAGTGTATTAGGACTTATTCAGTGTAGTTCAAGCCCATATGTGGGCTAATGGCTTATGGTTTGAAATTTGGATACTTGGTTGATGGTTTAAAGGCAAAAATATAAAATTATGGTTCCAGTTGTTCAAATTCTTCATTTGATGTTAGACTGACATGAAACCAAAACCATTAACTAGATTATAAAATTGTTGGCATGTGGGCACTTGAATCACCTCAATCGGAGGTTCAAGTCAAATGTTATACATATCGAAAGTTCATAGTTAGGGAGCTATCATGACAGTTACTGTCATGAAGTTTTGGCTGTGGCTTATAGATTATTGGCCACAGCCAAAGGAGTGGCCATGACCATTTGGCCATAGCCAAAAGGGAATTGGGCACAGCTAAATCTTTTCTGGAAGTGTTGGCAGTGGCTTAATGTGCTCTGGTCGTAGCTAAGTGCTTATGTCAAGAAAAAATGACCCTTTTGACTTTATTTTGACTTGTTTTCAACTCTAAATGTTTTCCATACTTCTCAAATACTTTTTACTTTGATTTATAATGGTTAAATGACCTTCTAAACTTGATTTTGAGATTAAATGATTTATAAAATTTTATCTTTATAAGGTTTTCTTACTTAACCTTATGAGTTTTCAAACAGCCAAGGTTAATCCTTTTATGCCATGATATCTTTTATTATTGACCAAATTGGTTGTAATTACTCTGGTAGTTCTACTTTAAGGTTAAGTGTGGGCTAATTATCTGTTTAAGAATTGGTGGTTTTACACATACCATCTCTTATCAGTCAAAAGATAAACATTAATGGATAAGTATTGAAAATATCAGTTTCGTCTGTTGATAGTCAAGAGTTTTTTTACAAGCCCTTCAAAAGTTTATCCCTATTTAAATTTGAAACTGAAATTTCAAATTCATTTAATTGAAATATGGGAAAAAAATTCCAACTATATACAATTGAATTGATATATGCTAATATTTATCAACCTTCAACTACTCCCACTAGAATAAATAATTTTCTAACCAAAAGTCTCTCGTTGTAATGTTTATGGAGAATCTATATATAGTTTTCGATCAATTTAAACTCCCTTGTAAATTGTGAGTTAGGTGGTTATCTTATACTTCTCATGTGTACACCTATAATTAATTAATCATATATATTGATGCAGTTGCCATTTTATTTATATGCTCCAATTCCCAACACTTCAAAGTCCAAAATCCCTTCATCCATCAATTATAGAGCAACTCAAATTTAATTTTAATACTTTTCTCAATACATCATTAATCAAAAAATAGGTCTATTTGGCAAAAAATAGAGATGTCGTGAGGTGTGCCAGAGATACGGGGTCTCAAAAGGATAGAAGAATCTGACTTCTAATCAAATACAAGGGACCTCGACTCCCTTACTATAGTTTACTTGTGTCACACCCCAAAAATCAGGTGTGACCGGCACAGGATATGGACCACAAACCTCACATCCCTTAAGCCGTGATAGAAGAAACTCTGAATTTAATATGTTAAACACACTAATAAAGTAATTAAAAATTATTACAATATTAAATCAGATATTCAAGTTTAAAGGAAATATGAGGATCCTACCTGTAGTCTATGTGGAGCACTTAAGGTCAGACGCCAACGTAGGTATAAAGTTCAAATTTTCACCAAATTAGGATTTGACTAAAATAATTCTTCTGCTTCAATTCAGCAGTAAAACTCCTCAGTGGATATATCGAGTCACGAGTTCCACTATACCATCTGAGACCAAAATATCTTTTCCAGTGAATAACGTCCCAACAATAAATAATAGAACATAAATAAAATGAAAAGTTTGAAATAGTTATGTAAGTTAAATAGACAAAATTTTCGTAAAAATTTTATAACTTCATAATAAAATGGTTTTATAAATTTCAAATAAAATCTCAAATCATTAAACTATCATAGAAAATGATAATATCACTTAATTTCAATAAAGCACATAAATGAAATAAATATTTATAAACAAATTGCTAAATAAAAACCAATAGAATATGAAATCATCAAACGATTGGATTCATAAATATAGGGACTTATCAGAACAATTAACAAATGTGGACACACAATCCACGAAGGTAACTAACCAAACGCGGCTTATGCCACGAAAACAAACGTGGACACTCAGTCCACGAGAGTAAGTAACCAAACGCAGCCGAAGCTACGAAACAAACATGGACACACAGTCCACGAGGGTATATAACCAAACGCAGCCGAAGCTACGAAAGAAATGTGAGTACGATGCTCACGAATAACCATCCCTCCGTTCCACGTGCGTTGGCCATCGCACGGGGCTAGCACCTCCTATAACACCCTGCTAGCTAGGTGTACCATGGCGCGCCAAGGGCTAACGGAACTGCCGTTAGCAACCAGTGTTCTATATAAAGTCCCTTTCAAATTCAATTTCAAACATGCGAGAATTTGATCACTATTTAATCAACTTTTCCTTTTCAAAGTCGAACTCGCATGAATTGTTTTTCCATAGAAATTCAATAATTTCCAAAATGAAATCCCACAATTAAAATTCAAACTTGTATTTACTGATTAACTAAAATGATCAATTCTGGTAAAATAATTTCACGAAATAAAGTAATTTAATCAACAAAATATCTCATAGTCACATTGCTGTCGTAAAAAGAATTTGCATAAAAATGTAATATTCGAATAAAAGAGATTTTAATGAAATATCAGTTGGGACGCCATCCACTTACCTAATAAGCTCCAAGAATAATCATATGTTCTTTCTAAACACCTCTACACTTCCCTTCAGCTATGTACTCTATTGCCTAAACCATAAGAACAAAGAACTTTCTTCATTAAAAGCTCTAATTCATATATTTCTAACTAATATTCATAAACCCACTATATATAATCTAGAACATATTAAAGTTCTCTCAATCCCTATTGGTACTTAGCCCACGAACCATAGTTAAAAACTATATTCTTCTTATTCTTTTTTTCACACCTACAATAATATACTTATTTCAACCATGCCCCCTTCTTTTTGTAACCAATAAGTAATTTATCCTTAAGGTTCTCCAACGATGCTTTACAAAAGTATGCTTTATTCAAAACAGTACAATTTCTTATCCCACACAGCCACAACTGATCGCATAACACCTTTAATTCAGTATCATAAATATTATCAAGTATAACAAATTTCTTTATTGTTTCCATGTGCTTTAAGACTCAAACTGATCCAACAAATTTCATAATTTCACATAATAAGTTCAAATACTAACCTATCACCAATAAGCCAACTTCTTGATTTGATTTTTTTTTTTCCAAGCTTCATCACAAAAAGTAATTTACTTGTTTTATAATGTAATCAATGATACCTTCATCACTCTTAATTGTCTCAATAGTTCAAAATTTATCTCTTACTCATTTCATCAAACATTTGGTATACCACCCAAATTCCCAATTATAACTTATAAATTAATTTCTATAATTCTTAAAATAGAAATCAAATAACCTTCAACCATTAATATACACAAAAGTTTCTCAATCCCAATTCTTGATAGATTTTGATTTTAATACTTCTATTCAAATCTCATCCCAACAATATCCAATATAACTTCTGAATTTATCATATTTTTTTTTCCAATCAAAATCTGTACTAAGAATCAACTTAGAATCAAGAAAAACTCAACCCAAACTAATTTCATTTTGGTTCAAGTCCCTTCCTAAGTCAAGCATATACAGGGGCAGAACAAATAACAAGGGGAACTTTGCAAGCTCAATCACATAAACATACACACACAAAGTCACGAGGAAGGAAAGCTTCGAACCTATCCTCACGTTTAATCAGCAACAATGCAGAATTAAGGAAGCAAAAGATTCGGATAATGTAAAGACAGAAGAGGAAGAAGGACCGAGCAACGCAAACAGGGAAAGCCAATATATATATATATATATATATACGCACCACATAAAATCATTAGAGATGAGAATGGGAGAATGAGCTCCCTCACCAGATATCGGCCACAACGACTATGAAGGGAGAGCAGTTCGGTGCTGAACAGGGGAAGCAGAAAACCAGTAAATCAACGTGAATCAACCACTCCCCAATCTGAAATTTAAGAACCCATAGCTCGATATTAACGGAGGAAGAAAAAACGGCCGCCAACGCGAATGAACAGCAGACGGACGAACTGAACGACGACCTACAGTGTTGAGCGATCAGTAACGTAGAACAGAGGAAAAGGAAGAAGAAATCTGCAACATGCTCAAGCTCACTGGTGACAGACGAAAAGAACAGCACAAGAAGGAGATCGGAAGAGACGCAGCTATAGTTTAAAGCTCTCTCCCATTCTCCTTGATCCAGAGCCTTTGAATCTTCTCAAACGTACAGCAACGAATCAGCGAGCTCCAGTACCTGTCAATGGCGGACGGTCGAAGCAACAACAGCCACTATCATTGGCAGTGGTTGAAGACGAAAGAAAAGAAAGTAGAGACGCAGAGGAATCACGAAAGAAGGAAAGAAAAATCAGCCATCTCTCTCCTCTGGACCAGTCTCTCAAATGAAGCAGAAGTTTCCCGATATCTCTTTTAAATTTTTTCTTCTTCTTGTTTTTTTTTTGGCCTGAATCTGATATAAGAGTATTCGGGAAAATTACAAGAAGGAGCACGAGAAAATCACAACAAAGGGCACACAAAATTTACTAGAAAGAACACAAAATTTTTTATAATTTAAAATCCGACTTTTACTAGAAAAAAAAATTGGACTCTGAATTCTTGAAAAATTTTCCAGCATAAATTTCTATAAACTACCCAATTCTACTTATTATAAACTTTATTTAAATAATACATTCATTATGAGAAAAATTTGTTCAATTTAAAATTTAAGGTTCTTACAACTTGGATGTAAGAATGTGAAATGAAAAAAATTAATGTAAATACAGGGAAGCAAAGATACATTAATTAAAGAAAAAGGTGACAAGCCATGTCGATCGTACTACATGATAAAAGAGAAAATAAAATGAAGTAGCAAACACAAAATTTGAAAATTTAACTGGTAGTTTGTTGATGCTGATGATGATTCTTGTTGAGAGAAGACTCCTCTATTTATAAATGATCTTGGCTTTGTGCCTAAACTCCATGATGGCTACTTTTCTTGAATTTAAGAAGCACTTCCTCCCTTGTAGCCACTTTTTTAACTTCCATAATTCAAGCATCATGGGTGGAGATAATAGTCTAAACTCAGTCTTGATTTAATAGTCAAGGGTTTATGAGTATTCATTTTTAATTATTTTAAGGCCAATTATGTTGAGTTGAGCTCGGGCCTCTAAATTCATAATTTGGGTGCAAATAAGGTCATGAAAGCTGTGTATCATTAGTATAAAAGAGGGTCGAGGGTTGAATCAATATGTGCTTACTCCTTTCTATAGTGTTCTAGGTCAATCCCTTTCTATGTTGTTTGTTTACCTATGTCTTTTTCAATAGAGATGGAATTCAAAAATTATGACTTTGTTCAAGATATCAATGATTCTATAAAGACATGGTGTATTGTAGTAAGAGTTTTAAGAAAGTGCCTGTAAAGTAGAGAAATTCTCCTTTCCACACCTAAAACATTTATTTCCTCCCAATTGATAAGAAGGTTTTCAAACATTTCTTCTTAATACTCTTAATTTTCATTTAAAAAAAGGAGGTTAAGGTATAATTTTACTCCTAAACTATTCTCAAAGAGCAATGTTGTTATTAAACTACTCATCATAGCAATATTGCTCTTAAACTAATTAAATTGAAGCAATTTACCCCTTTCATTTAAATGTTAACTGTACTAATGGAATTCACTTTTCATGAGTTAAAGTGCAATTTTGCACTTAAACTATTCTCAGAGGAGCAATGTATAACATTCTAAAATTTAACCCAAGATTAATTAAGCTAATCAAGAGCAAATGAGTAATTTTGAAGAAATATTTAGAAATAAATAATTTTTAGTTTGATGATTATTATAGAATTTAATTTAAAATAAAATCTTAAGTTATGATTTTTTTTAAATAGAAATGATAATAATATTATTAAAAAGAAAGAAAGAAGAAGGAAAAAGGGATATAAAAAATGAAGAAAGGGGGTAGGGAACGGATATATATATCTATTTATGCATGTGTGTGTATTAAAAAAAACAAGAGAGAGAGAGAAAGTGGTGTGAATTATCGCATGGGGCCCACACCTTTTTAGAAAAAAAAAACAACACACACCCCATTCTCATTTCATTTTCTCTTCCCTTTCTCCAATGCTCTTTGTGTGCAATAGAACAACAGAGCTCTTACACGAGACAGTGAGAGGGAGTTGATTCAAGGCTCCATAATAAGATATTTTAGGTGAGATTTTAAGTATTTTAAGACTGTGTAAGTGTTTTAAATATTTTCTTTAGTCATATTTTCTCTTTAGTTTCTAATTTTGAGGTTAGGAAAATTTAGAATTTAAAAGGGGGATGAATTTATGATAAATAAATGTGATTGTTGAGGTTATTAATAGTATAATAAATATTTTAAAATATTAATTTGTTGATGAGATTTGAATTTGAGATTTATGAGTTAAATCCTAAACCTCTATAGGTAAATTTTTGATTAAATATAAAAATTATAAGTTGGTTTATTAATGACTAGAGTTGTTTGGGAGTAGAAACATATTATTAAGACTATAAAATGATGATTCTAGCCTTAAAACCAAGTTTGCAATTTTTGAATATTTTTAGGTGTTGTTTGTAATGCATATGTAACCTTGTTGAGATCCTATAATTTGTGACAAAGTTAATTGTAGTACATGTAAAGAATTTAAATATAATGGCCGTATGTGGAGAAAAAGAAATGAATAGGAAAACTTGCTTGTAATATGAAACGTTAATATTAATTTATGTTTTCATGGGATAATGTAACATGATTTGAGTAATGAGATTGAGGGTTGATGATGATGTACATACTCTTGATTATAAATTGTGAATTATACATGATGATGAATTGTGTATGAATATATTGAGTTTTCATATAATGCTAATGTGATTTATGTAGTAACATGAAAATTGCTACATGAGGCATGACAATTGAGGAACATAAAGATGTGATTAGTTGAGAAACTCAAACTTTCCTCTCCTAAAGGTGCTCATGTGTTTTCAATGTGTTGTTGTCATGGAAAGGTTTAAGTTCCTAAGTTGGAAGATCCATCTTTTCAAATTGTTCTTCGACAAGGACTTTCCATATTCCAAAAACTTTCAGTCAAATATCAAGGCATACAACAATATGTTTAGTTTTACTTCTATCGATGGTAAAATTGATCATAGATTGAACATTAGTAGTAGATCATACACGTTTATTTAGGAAGTCTACTATCCCCTGATGGAGTCTCTCTTGTCTATTCTTAGCTCTACATTTATGATATCGAAAATGAGATACCTAATAAAATTAATACTGTTAGGCAGTAAAGAGAAGAGATTAACGTTTTCCATACATACTTCTTTCTTAATTTTGTTGCCTATATATGTGGTTTATTAACTTTGATTATTCTTTATTCCTCTAATTACAATCAACATTCAATGGAAATGACATTAAAACCTCATATTGTACAATATCTCAAGGATATTATTGATTGTCACAATTCTTTCGCTAAAAAGTATAGAATGACAAGGGACATATTATAAGAAGATCTAGAAGCTCATGTAAGGATTTGCTTGCTTAGACAGAATGAAAGAGAAAGTAGAAATTTTAATTTACTTGTTGCTTCAGAGATAGTAGCTCTTATTGTTGGGGATTTTAATGAAACATATACCAAGTGTGATATAATTGTTGAAAAAAGAGGCCATCTAAAAAGAATTGATGAAATCCACAAGTCATATCTCACTCTTCAATATCTACTACTATTTCCTTTTAGAAGAAATGGATATAATCTAGAAATTCAACATGAAGAAGAAAGCCTAAACCACACTTTAAAGAAGACATTATCCATTGGAGAATACTTGTGTTATAGGTTGATGGTTTTAAACAATGAAATTTCATTAATCCTTCACAAAAGAAAATTGTTGCAACAGTTCATTGTTGATAAATATGTAATGTTGGAAAGTCAAATATTAGATTTTATTAGAAATCATCAACATAATCTTAGAGTGGATTAGTGTCAAGGTCTCTCTGATGCTTTGTTTAGAAGGGAAATTGAAGCTATTGCAACTAGAAAAAGGATAATATTGCCTTCATCTTTCACAGGAGGAGCTTGATACATGATAAACAATTATCATGACACAATGGCAATATATAGATGGGTAGGATACCTTGACCTATTCATCACTTTCATTTGTAATCTAGTATGGCCTGAGGCTAGAAGATTTTGTAAGATGAAAATTTAACACCGAGTGATTGTCTAAATATCTTGTGTGGAATTTTTTTATTCAAGTTGAACAAACTTATGAAGGTTATCAAAGATGAGAATATTTTTGGATCAGCCAAAATAGGTACTTATTCCAATTTTTTATAAGCAAAAAAAAATTTACTTCTTAAATAATAACTAAATCACAAATGATCTTTCTTTTCTCACTAATCATTCTTATATTCCCATTTTAGATATATACAATTAAGTTTCAAAAGATATGTCTTCCGCATACTTATATAATTCTATTCCTTGAAAACAAGGATAAAAATGTACTCCTGAAGAGGTTGATGACATAATATCTATAAAAATCCTAGACAAAGAGGAAGATATAGAACTTTATGACTTAGTAAGCAACTTCATGACTCTGGACCATGTGGTCATGCAAATACAAGATCTCCCTATATGAAAGAAGGTCAAAGTAATAAAACTTCCCTAAAAAGTTTTGTGATGAGACAATAATTGATGATAAGGGATGCACCGCATATAAAAGGAGGAATGATGGTAGGAAAGTTGTGAAGAAAAGAATAGTATTAGACAACAGATTCATTATTCCTTACAATTCGAAGCTGTTAAAGATGTTCCAATCTCACATTAATGTTGAAAATACTAATCGATCCACATTAATCAAATATCTATTCAAGTACGTAAGCAAGGGGCGTTGATTGGGTCATAACAGGGATGAACAACAATAACAATGATAATAAACCACTACTTAAATTTTAGATACATTTCATAATGTGAGGGGTCATGGAGAATTTTTGGATATGACATCCACCATCAATTTCTTTCTATGGAAAGGTTAAGCTACCATTTTCCAGACAGGCAATCTGTAATATTCAAAGGAAATTCAAATGTATAGAGCTTGATGAATAAAAAACTATCAAGGAATCAATATTTTTAACTTGGATGGAAAAGAATTCGAATCCTTACAATAAAA